TCAAGAATTTTCTCTGCTCTATGTCGTCCAGATCGTTTCTGAGGTCCACCCAACCTCCTATCCAGTGGGTACCTGGGACTCTTTCCCATGGGATAAAGCGGCCGGGGCGTGAAGCTGTCTATTCACCTGCAACTAGTGCTGAGGTAAAGAAAATGTGGGTTTATACATCCACTCCCCCATACGCCTTCATGGTGTAGTGCTTAATTAGTTAAGCATAGGGACAACTTTTGAGCCGGGATAGCTCAGTCGGTATAGCGACTGGCTACGGGCTGGACGACTGAGTGGCCGGAATTCGAATCCCGGTAGGGCCAAGAATTTTGTCTTCACGTCGTCCCTGCCGGCTCCTAGTTAACCCAGTTTTCTATCCAATGGATATCGGGGTCTCTTTCCCCTGGGGTAAAGTAGCCGGGGCATTAAGCTGACCAGTCACTTGCAGTCAAGAAAATGTAGGCCTGTGCATCCATTCTCCCATACGCTTTCATGTCGTAGCGCTTAATTAAGCACAGGAACAACTTTTTCTCTAAAAGTTCACCCTCTGTCAAACGTATCTTTGCCAGAAAGATGAGCTGACAGTGTGTGTGAACCTTCACAACAGGAGAGAATTTTTTTTTGCTCTCCCTCTCCCCATTGTAAGTATAGTCCCCCCACACTGCTCCATCTTTCTCTCTTTTCAGTCTCCCCCTCACTCTACCCTCACTCCCCCCACTTTCTCACATTTCAGTCCCCTCTTCTCCCCATTGCCTGAGAAAATTGTGTGCTCATAGGGTTACCAGCATTGGCTGAAGAATTGACATAATGTTATTGCTTGTGTCCTTTTCGGATGGACCGCCTCTGTGGTCTAGTGGTCAGAGTTTCTGAATACAGATTCAGAGGTTCTGAGAAGTAGTGGGTCTGGAACGGGGTCCACTCAGCCTAGTGAGGATAACTGAGAAGCTCTTTCAAGGAAATAGGGGCTCCGGTCTAGAAAACCGAAATTAACGGCCGTGGGGATTCGTTACACTGACCCCGCGACACCCTCTATCCGCAAGAAGTTGGCAATAAAATTTCGCCGACAAGCGGCGTTCGCTCTGTCTGTATAGTTCGCTTGCGGACTAAAATCACGGAGTTTTTTTGATGTGTTGACAAGATTTTTGGAAAGTTCACGTTTGCCTTATGTAGAGTGTAAAACTGTATTATGGCCTTGTGGGATGTTTATCTCGTTTTTCGTTTGATAGCGAACACTGATGAGTAAGTCTTCTCGTGTTCGTATGTAAGCTTCATAGGTATGATATGGTGAAAGCTTGTCGTTGTACCACAAAGGTTCGTGCATGCCGACGATTAGCGTGAGATTACATGTAGCCCAAATCGAATTGATCGACAAGCCGTACGCGCCAGAATCAGTAATATCGATCGACGCTTCGTGAAAATAAAAGTTATTCGCAGAGTATTTTGATGGCCTTTCCTAATATAACTCACACTGGATGTTACGATATAGTGAAAGGTTAAGTTATCCCTGTGCTTAACTGATGAAACACAACGCCGTGAAGACGTTTGGGGGAGTGGATGTATAGATCCACGTTTTATTGACTTCGGTACCCATTGGATATGAGATTTGGTCGGCTTCAGATGTTTCTGGGCGTCGTTGAGAAGAGCAAATTCTTGACCATACCGGGACTCGAACTCCCTAACCCCTCGGTCGTCCAGCCCATAGCCAGTCCATATTCCGGTTACGCTATTTCGGCTATAGGTAGGCATGAAATGGCCTACCAGCTTTACCCGTATTGATGAACGAAATAGACATACCGATAAGTGACAGGTTATGTCTACGTTTACTTGTGTGTTTGCAGACAGGATCGCTGCAGAGGAGTTCATTTATTACTTTATATTTACAGATACAATGCTTTAGTGCTTGTGTCCTCTTCGGATGGACCGCCTCTGTGGTCTAGTGGTCAGCGTTCTTGGCTACAGGTCCATAGGTCCGGGTTCGATTCCCGGCGCTACCAGATTTTTCGGAGAAGTAGTGGGTATGAAACGGGATCCACTCAGCCTCGTGAGGATAATTGAAGAGCCATTTCAATGAAATAGCGGCTCCGGTCTAGAAAACCGAAATAAACGGCCGTGGGGATTCTTTGCGCTGAGCACGCGACACCCTCTATCCGCTAAAGTTGGCACTGACTTCGCTGACAAGCGGTGATCGCTCTGTCGGTATGGTTCGCTTGCGGGCTAAAACCACGGAATTTGTCCCCTTCGGATGGCAAATTAAGCTTTGCCTAGGTGAGCTGATGGAAATGCGCGTCATGTATTGGTGTAGGGTTCCTAACTCCCTCGAAATTTGGGTTACAGGTAGTGAGGAAATTGAGTTAACGTGGCAGTATGCCTCACAAGCAAGGTAGGACTCGAACCGAATACCGAATACCGCTGAGCTAACGTGCTCATATTTTACGAGGATAGGCCTCGGAAGAAACGGTTATTTACAGTGACCTTGTCGTTCTTTTCTAATTGTGTCCTGTATTGCTGTTCTTAGAGTCGGGAAATAAACAAACCTTGCACTTGGACTTGGAAGAAATATTTATTGAACAGTCGGAGCGTGAAGCTGTGCACTCACCTCTACATAATGCCAAGGTTGAGGATTAGTGGATAGTTTTTGCCTATGGGCTCTTGTATATTGTAGAAACTTTACGCAATAGGACACTCCGCGTTCTACAGGTGTGCCTTGCACAAGCTGTTGCGTCATATGCTAGCGGATGCGATCTGCTGGTTCTATCCTGCCTCAGGCACTCTCAGATGGTGGGCTTTCCTTCATGTCGTTCATCAGAACGTCGATAGGCTTTTTATTATTATTTTTTTCTATTGCTAGTGGGGTGGGACTAAGTCCCTTGTACTGCGGCCACTTCTGGCCTATTGTACCAGCCCCAGATGATAGGTGAGGGTGATTGTGGAGCAATTGGGGGAATGCAGATTGGCAGGGAAGACCGAAGTACTGGGAGAAAACCCGCCCCAGCGCCCACTTAGTCCATCAGAAATCCTAGTTGACCAGACCAGGGATCGAACCCGGGCCGCCGCTTTGGGAAGCCAGCGACTAATCGCTTGAGCTATAGCGCGGTCTAGACTCGTTCCCTACTCCCGGATTTTTATACCCTGAACATTGAAGCGATACATTCCTCCGAAACGTCGGTTTACACTATCTACACTGCGCCACATCCCAGAAGACGGCATTCTTCACAGTGATAGCCGTGAAAACCTGAAATCTTACAACGTTGGTCTTATTGACGGGGCCAGTAGTAACGTGAAGTTGTCAACGCAGTGCCATAGGATGCTTTAATTGAACAGAAGAGGGACCATCTGATGGCATGATACAATATTGAGTCACTGCTTTTGCCACCTACGTAGAACAACAGGATTTGGAACTATTGCGAAATTGATCTGTGTTTCTTCATTAATGCAGCGTACTGTCAGTAGTAATGATCCGGTATTTGCTCAGGCAGGTCACGTGTGACTTTTATTTTTGGCGTTTACAAGAAGTTATAGCGAGTACATATAAAGGCGCGTCCACATTACTCGTACTCGTGTGACTCGCTATGCTCGCGAGTAATGTGGACGATATGACAGGTCACGAGACAAGCAAATTTTAAACTTTTAATTTAAAAACTATAACCAATAAATTAAAATACGACTACAGCCTATACACACTACGAGTAAATATACGGATCCTCACGCGCCGAAGCCTGGCGAGCAACTGAAGTAGTGTGGACGAAGATTTACGAGCACAAGTAAAAGCCAGACGAGTCTCCCGACGAGCACGAGCACGAGTAATGTGGATACGCCTTAACATCCAAGAATTCAAAAAGCCGGCTCAAGAAGTATCACTCCCCCCAAACCCCCATTGTAGCGTTTGGAACTTAACGCTCGTTGCGTCTGTTATAGAAATTAATGCGAAGTTTGGCGGTGGTTTTTATAAAACGGGGTCGTACAACCACGCACATGTACAGCAAAAGGTTATTTTGACGTTCGCTCTGTTGAGTCATACGCAAGTTTTAGCATTGCAATCCGGCAGTAGACTTGTCTTTATGTTTATTCGATAAAATTGACATATTTAGCGGCCGATTAAAATCATGTGTTAGTTATTGTTGATCGAATGGGGTTCCCAGTGGTTGAATTGTTCTATTCACTGTCGCGTCCAAAACGGTTCTTAAGGTAAACGCCTTAAGTGGATGAAGCTCTGAACCTGAGCTCGTAAGGCGAAAGTATGATCGTTGGTATACATTTTTATGAATCCCTAGTAACGTTGCCCTGATAGCAGAACCTGGGAGTATGGATTTTGATTCAAGTTGCCAGTAGAGGTTTAGAATCCTGTGGACAATATTAGTTGGCCGTCATTGCGAAAACTCGAAATTTCCGAATTCCATGGTTTATATTACCCTAAGGATATTGCGACTGGGGGCGTATGTTAGTCTCTAAATCAGTACGACCCTATGTAGGGGGGGGGAAGTGTAGTATTTGGTACCGTTTTGAAATGAGATCGGTAAAATTATATTTTTTTCGGCATTTGCAGACTTTTCAGGGTGACTTTTCGGTTGGTTATCAGGATGAATTAAAATTAACGGATAATTGTCACACTCTTTGAAAAGTAAAACAATATACACCGACCGAAACTTCGACCTGTGTATGTTACTTAGACTGAACAATTAAAAAGTGTGCTTAGAAGTAATGTTGCTTAAGACTGAGCAGTTGAAAAGTGTGCTTAGAAGTAACGTTACTTAGACTGAATAATCAAAAGTGTGCTTAGAAGTAATGTTACTTAGACTGAGCAGTTGAAAAGTGTGCTTAGAAGTAATGTTTCTTAGACTGAACAACCAAAAGTGAGCTTAGAAGTAATGTTACTTAGACTGAGCAGTTGAAAAGTGTGCTTAGAAGTAACGTTACTTAGACTGAACAATTAAAAGTGTGCTTAGTACTAAAGTTGTCTCCATATTTTTTACTTTTTGCTAAGATGTTCAAACGTTCTTTCTTGCATTTTTCAGATTGCGCCCTCTGCCAAGAAATTATGGGGAGTTGAGGAACAGAAAGATGACCCAAAAGGGATTCTCAATTTGAATGATCATCAGATGTGGAGAGATTCAACGTGGAGTACGTCTGGTGAGTAAACATGTTTGTTATTCTGTGGGGAAAACCATTTTTTTTTTCAGATACGGTATATTACTGGCAGAAACAGCAACCGGCGGCTTTTGAACTCCGGAATTGAGGACGCAAGCATTGAATCCATTGACATTGCTGAAGAATTTTAGTCGATGATTGTTTTACATGAATGTAATGCCTTACATTCGTTCCCCGCTTTTGCGAAATTTATTGTAGCGTCGGCGTACATGAACGTTAAATGAAGGGTCTTGTATGGTTAGAATCACAAGCAAAGGAAGGCACCATTCGACCTTACAGATGCAATGTTTGAAGTACCTTGGTGTGGAAAATGTTTTCAGTAAATGTCGCCAATTGCAGTGGTGGTTTTGGTAAATCCGCTTTTGTAAACTTAATAGTACCCCGTGCGTTTAAAGTCTATAAGCGAACTGAGCTGCGCATTCTCCCATTAGTTTCTTGATTTTCTGCACGTGTAAATGAATAGCCTTGCGTATACTGGGTACAAAATAAAAGAATAAAACGGGACCAATATGGAGTTCACATGCGTAAATAAAAATGCAGATAGTGAAAGTTTAATTTTATTGTAAATACCGCATACATGAATAGTTTTCAAGACATTATTGTTATTATTATTATTGGCCTTGTAGCTGTAGGCTCGGCGCATAAATAATACGTAATTGAGTTGAATTATTCAGTTGAAAGCGGCGGGCTTAATTGCTTGTGTTCGATGGTTGAGTAAATTCAAGTTCTCCGCTTTCGGAAAATTTTGTTATTTTTATTTATTTATTTATTTATTTATTTATTTTTCCGTGTATAACCAGAACCGCGTTGGACAGGTTCGGGAGCTGTAACGTCCGGAAATTCTGTGTTGTTAAGCAGTGCAGTGAATTACATCAAAAGCTCATATGAATTCTTGAACTTGGATTAAACGTGCAAGGGAGGAGATGAATAGGGCCCATGAGTGCTTTTGGAAGGTAACGTCGTTTTCAGAAACCGCGAATTTATGCGACTGTTTTCGTTTGTTTGGTTACGTAACCTGCTCTCGTATAGGTAACAGAAAGATCGAGGGCACAGAAATATATGGATTGCACCATTCTGGCTTTCCATTGGATTAGTGAGTGAACTCGAAATTCTGTCATGAGCTCTTAGATAACTGACTTACTTACTCATGGAGCTGAGCCGCCAATTCTGCAGCTACTCAAGAATTTCTCAGCATTTTATGGAACCCGAAGGTTCATCACCGTGTTCACAAGAGCCCTCCACTGGTCCCTATCCTGAGAATTTTCTTCTGATATTTCTAAGAGCTGTTACCTTATGTGAACATGTCCTCAGTTGAATTCTTGTCGACTTCTGACGGGGCGATATGGTTTTGCGCTGCAGTACTCTCCCTGCTTGTGGTGTCGGACCCTGATGGCTGAGCATGTGAATAATTTAGCAGCGCAGTTCGTCTGTCATTGCTTAGGGCAGGTATTTGTGGGTTGTAAACATGAGTTGTCAGTAGACCCGTCTTGCTTGTCTTAAGTAACACATATATCCAGTAAGTGACCCCCTCTGTGGTCTAGTGGTCAGAGCTCATGGCTACAGACCCAGAGGCCCCGGGTTCGATTCTCGGCGCTATCAGGTTTTCTGAGAAGTAGTGAGTCTGGAACGGGGTCCACTTAGCCTCGTGAGGATAACTGAGGTGCTGTTTGAAGGAAATAGCGGCTCCGGTCTAGAAAAAACCGAAATTAAAAGCCTTGGGGATTCGTTGCTGTGACCATGTGACACCCTCTGTCCTCTTAAAGTTAGCACTGACTTCTCCTACAAGCGGCGGTCGATCGGTCGGTATAGTTCGCTTGCGGACTAAAGCCACGGAATCTGTTTTTGATTAGTTATATCCTGTAAGTGACTGGCTGTCTTAACCATCGAACAGTTTGTTGTATAGGTCTCTATAGCAGTTGTTCACTGTGGCTAATGTTAACGGTGAGTGTGCGTTATAACGACTGGTTTGGTGAAGACCTCAGATGGAAACTAATAGTACACGTCTTGTGGTGTGCTTTAACTTCCGACTGCCTTGGCAGTCAAGCCGTTTACCTTCGATCCAAGGCAGTTTGTATGTTAAAGTCTGCTACTTTGTTGACAGACACGCGTCGCTAGAACAGAGAGTAGCCGTAGATCCAGTACATTTGTCGAGCGCGTTTACTGATAACCAAATCGTGGATCTTACTTTACCGGTTTGGATGAAATGAAGGTAGAAGCGGTTTTGCAATCATGTGCTACTTGCGCCGTCATTATGATAGCCCTCCTCGAGCGGTTGTCCTGCGCGAAGACGAAAGTGTATTAAATCAGTTGAAATTATCAGCATTTTAAAGACAGAACCTTCGCCATTCCTTAGATCACTATTTTTTAAACACCTAGTAGAAATGTAGCCGGTCACGGTAGCCGAGCGGTCTAAGGAATGCAGTCTTCGCTCGCTCGGAACCCGGGATCGTGGATTCGGATCTGTTTCCTTTGAGGTACAAACTGAATTCTTATATATTCTTATACACTGCCGGTCACGGTAGCCGAGCGGTCTAAGGCATGTACTGTCTTCGCCCGCTCGGAACCCGGGATCGTGGATTCGGATCTGTTTCCTGTGAGGTACGAACCGAATTCTTATATATTATTCTTATACACTGCCGGTCACGGTAGCCGAGCGGTCTAAGGCATGCACCGTCTTCGCTCGCTCGGAAGCCGGGATCGTGGGTTCGAATTCCACTCAGGGCATGGATGTTTGGTTGTGTTGTCCTGTGTTTAGGTGGAGGCCTTGTGACGAGCTGATCAGCTGCCAAAGGAGTCCTGCGGAATGTGCAAGATCCAGTAAACTGAAGTGTAACGAAGAGTACCATGGAGGTAGGCCAAAGCCAAATTGGGGCTGTAGCGCCAAATGAGGAAAAATGTAGAAATGTTTTAACAGAACCTTATTCGCATAGTGGGGGGGGGAGTACAACTGGGTCCAGTCGGCACTGCGGCCACTGATTGGCATATTGTAGCCTGCCCCGGGTGATATGATGATGGAGAATTTGGTAAAATGAAGATTGGCGGGGGAGACCGAAGTACTGGGAGAAAACCCGCTCCAGCGCCACTTTGTCCACCACAAATCCCAGTTGATCAGACCCGGGATCGAACCTGGGCCGCCGCGGTGGGAAGCCAGCGACTAACCGCTTGAGCTATGGCGCCGCCCAACAGAACCTTACATTAAGGTAGTGTTTTCTTTGATATAACGCCATGTAGTCAAGTGCCCAGCTCGATACCTATTTCATGCTGGTTATTTGCTTAGCTAATTCTTCGACCATGAAAATGGAGGTAACATACTTTTCCGAGACGTCTGTTGACTTTCAACTGACTACAAATGTTATATCCCAGGAGATAGAACTGTTCATAACCACCGCTGTGGTAATCTCAGATTTACAGAAACTATTTCATTCTTATTTAGCCGATATGTTTCGGTTTAAGCTGTTTCTTTTTTTATTCTGATGACTCAGAAGACGTTATACTGCACTCGTCGTTCTGTTGGAACTGAATGCACTGTCGCGTAAGATGATGTTTGCGTAACGTCTGCGTTGTACGTGTTTGCTCTGTTACGTGCGCGGTGTGAACGCACGCATATAACTCGCTGCCTCAGACACGTTAGAACGGATGCCAAGTGAAGACAGTGCGCGTTAGGCGCCCAGCGCCAGGGAAAACAAATACATCGAATTTATTGAAGCGTCACTTCAGGGGGGGTAAATCTAAAACGTGCGTACCAGCACTTACGAACACTAAAGGGAACCGCTTTAGCGGGTTGCATCATAGCTGCAGCTTTATACGCACTGGTTTCCTATTTCTTCTTCTTTTTTTAATCGTGTTGGATTTCCCCTAGGCAAAATTTGGAGTTCTTTAGAGTTCGTTAATACGAAGCGGGATACAGCGCTGTGTAGCTTATTGAATGTAATCCGTCGTTTCGGAGGAGCATGTCTCCTCCATCAGGGTCGTGTTGTTATCAAGAATTCTATCTCCATGGATATAACGTCGTGTAGCTTATTGAATGTCATCCGTCGTTTCGGAGGAACATGCCTCATCTTCCATCAGGGTCGTGCTGTTATGAAGAATTCTATCTCCAGGGATATAACGCCTTGTAGCTTATTGAATGTCATCCGTCGTTTCGGAGGAGCATGTCTCATCCACTATCAGGGTCGTGCTGTTATGAAGAATTCTATCTCCATGGATATAACGTCGTGTAGCTTCTTGAATGTCATCCGTCGTTTCGGATGAGCATGTCTCTTCCTCCATCAGGGTCGTGTTGTTATGAAGAATTCTATCTCCATGGATATAACGTCGTGTAGCTTATTGAATGTCATCCGTCGTTTCGGAGGAACATGCCTCATCTTCCATCAGGGTCGTGCTGTTATGAAGAATTCTATCTCCATGGATATAACGCCGTGTAGCTTATTGAATGTCATCCGTTGTTTCGGAGGAGCATGTCTCATCCACTATCAGGGTCGTGCTGTTATGAAGAATTCTATCTCCATGGATATAACGTCGTGTAGCTTATTGAATGTCATCCGTCGTTTCGGAGGAACATGCCTCATCTTCCATCAGGGTCGTGCTGTTATGAAGAATTCTATCTTCAGGGATATAACGCCGTGTAGCTTATTGAATGCAATCCGTCGTTTCGGAGGAACTTGTCTCATCCTCTTTCAGAGTCGTGCTGTTATGAGGAATTATATCGCCAGGGATATAACGCCGTGTAGTTTATTGAATGTAATCCGTCGTTTCGGAGGAACATGGCCGCTCCATCATCAGAATACCCTTTGTTCCAGTCTTCGCTTGGGTGGTGTGGCCGTTACACTTTGGTGAAGCCAGTGCGACAGTTCCTAGAATTTAATCGATTTATGTTGCTCGTGAGTGGGAACAATCATAATGTTCACCAACAATGTATTTTGTGGGTTAGGTTTGTTTGGGGGAGCGAAATGTCATATGACTCGCGTAAGTGCTGGCCATTC